TCGCTAATAACGACTGCGCATATAACGACAATTCGCTAATAACGACTGCGCATATAACGACAATTCGCTAATAACGACTGCGCATATAACGACAATTCGCTAATAACGACTGCGCATATAAAGACAATTCGCTAATAACGACTGCGCATATAACGACAATTCGCTAATAACGACTGCGCATATAACGACAATTCGCTAATAACGACTGCGCATATAACGACAATTCGCTAATAACGACTGCGCATATAACGACAATTCGCTAATAACGACTGCGCATATAACGACAATTCGCTAATAACGACTGCGCATATAACGACAATTCGCTAATAACGACTGCGCATATAACGACAATTCGCTAATAACGACTGCGCATATAACGACAATTCGCTAATAACGACTGCGCATATAACGACAATTCGCGCATAACGACGGAATGTTCCTGCCCAGAGCAAAGTCCCATCCAACTGCAATACATATAATGAGACTTCGGGTATAACGATACTTCGCGAATAAGGAGACTTTTTTGATTATAAGCGAAGTTGACTGTATGTAAAAATAAAAAAGGGACATATGTGCTCAATCGTAGAGATACAAACAAGTATATGGTATGTAGTTATGTGTGTATGTATACATTAACATGAACATGCATGTGCATATCGATCATGTGTACCTGGATTTACACATGCACATACATGTACATCCAAAGATAGACAAGTCACACAGGGAAGCAATAAAATCAAACAAACATACACACACACATACACACACGTGCACGTATGCAAGCACGCGCACACAAACACACATATACCCCCCCCCCCCCCCCCACACACACACATACTGTATTACATACCCCCCTCCCCCCCACACCCACACACACACACCCAACATAAATAACCCATTCGACATAGGAATGTGATCTAAATCAGCATACCGTTGAAGATACGAGTAATTCTCCACAGACGCAGTAGAATAAGCAAGCTGACACTCTCCCGGGCACCTTCACCACTGCGTAGCAGAACAATACAATACAGTATAAACATTGGAACTAGGATGTTGAGCCGATTACTGTACAAGCAGAAATATTCGTCTGGAATTTAATTTCGTCTCTTTCGTCCAAGAAGCTTTTGGACTGAATTAAATGCCGGACTAATCCGGATTTAAAATGGCAATAAATAAGATAAATTGTGCCTGATAACAACAGCAAAAATGAAGAAAGTCAAGTTCCATAACGTTTTCTTGTGACTGTCATCAGTGGAACGCCGTCACATAAAAATGTAATAACTAAAACACACACTTAGGCCAAGTAAAATAAAATCCCAGTTTATCGTCCTTTTTTTCACAAAAATCGGGGAGGGAGGGCGGATTTTATTTTTATTTTTTATTTTTTGATGTGCTACAGACTAGTATAGTTCTTGGTAAACAATGACACATCATGTGCAACAATCTGCAACAGAATAGTGGTAGTGTATGGAATACACAATGCTTTAACAGGTATATGTACATAAACAATTACATGCAAAATCTTTGGATCGACAGATTGTCACTCCACTCATAAGACACAAACCCCAATACTGTTTGGTTCACACAGACCACCAGATAAATGATAGAAAGCTGCAGAAGGGAAAGAACCAGTCAGGACAGTAACCAAAAGTCAGTCATAAAGGGAACATGGACAGGATGAAGACGGACTTTCGGCAGAAAGACGAAGCTGTGTTTTCAAGTCTTAGCCGACGTAAAAAATCAAGCTTTTTGGCAAAATTCTAAATTTAAAAAATAAAAATAAATTCCGGGCGGCCTCGAAAAATGGGGCGGGCGGGGACGATAAACTAGGATTTTTTTTACTTGGCCTTATATGCATGTAGCTAATGTGGTTTCAGGTAGAAATACAGCAGCTAACAAGTACAAAAAGCGAAGTTTGCACCTTTGCAATGTGTGAATATAGTGTATGTGAGAAAGGCAGTGGCAGATGAATGTGATACTGTGTGAATGAATGTAATGGTGCGTGTGTATTACTTGAACAGTGTGAGTGATACAACATGTATATAAGTGTGTGTTTTAGTTATTACATTTTTATGTGACGGCGTTCCACTCATGACAGTCACAAGAAAACGTTATTGAACTTGACTTTCTTCATTTTTGCTGTTGCTATGAGTGCACAATTTATCTTATTTATTGCCATTTTACGACTATTGTCTCCTCGTCGATTGTTTAATCCGGATTTGTCCAGCTTTTCAATACACTCTTTTAAAAGATCCATGGACGAAATTTACAGCCGGACGGACTGCCTTTCTATTGAGTTGGACGAAATTATTGACCGACGAAATGTTCTGCTGTATAATATGTATAAGGAACATACACAAAGGCACACAATGAAAACCTTGGCAAATTTATTCCGTTGTGACTCAGAGTTTCATGGCTGAACCAATCATCAGACAACTCTGCCTGAATCAGGCATTGAGCACTCTTGCAGAACCAAAGCATATTGCCTCTGTGTATAAGGAACATATGAATGTCTCAGTACTCTGTCAGTTTCGCGACTAATTGTTGCACTTTCTGACTGTACAGTCAACTTGGCTAATAACAACTGCGGATATAACGACAATTCACGAACAACGACAGACTTTCCATGCCCAGAGCAAAGTCCCATCCAACTGTAATACAATATAATGGGACTTCGGGTATCAGGACGCTTCGCGAATAAGGACACTTTTCTGATGCCCCGCAGAGTGTCGTTATACGCAAAGTTGACTGCATTGTAGTATGTAGTTACAGTGGTGGACAGGAACTGTTAACTTGTATCCATGTGTTCCTTTCCTTTCTCCATAAATGTTGTCAGCTAACTACACAAGCATACAGCTGCACACACACACACACACACACAGACACCCCCCCCCCCCCCGAGACACGCATGCACAGACACGCATGCACAGACACACACACACACACACACACGTGTACGCATGCACACACACACACACACACACACACACACACACACACACACACACACACACACACTTGTGGATGCACAAGGCATATCGTTATGCGGCCAGGAGTCACTGCTCATCGAAGATTAATTTCGGACAAGATCTACAGCATGCACACATCACATTCAATGCAATCTACGGAGAATATGATGAAAAGCCAGAGGCCTTGTAATGCAGAACTTCCACCTCTAGATATTGCCATGCTTTGATTGCCAAACATGCCGACTGTTGCTTACCCAATTGTTATGTCGAGGACAAGGGATGTGATAACTACGATTGCATCAAATACCTACCGTGCACATACAAACAGACAAAACACACACACAGACACACACAGACACACATATAGACACTCACATAGATATACACACACACAGACACACACACGCACACAAACACACACACACATGCACACACACACACACACACACACACACACACACACACGCACACACACGCACGCACACACACGCACACACACGCACACACAAACACACACTACTACTACTACTATAGCATGACTGCCCATTGGGCAATGTCACCCCCGGAGGGGGCCAGAGTTTGGAGGGCACCGTCATTGGCAGGACTTCTGGTGCCTCGTCAAATCTTGCTGTCGTCGGAAACGCTTCGGGCAATGCATGCAGATCAGCGGCAGTGATTCCCTATCGGCTGCAGCAAGACGTTTTCCACGGTTGCAGTTATGGCGGTTAAAACCAGCCCGGGACTTGAAGCAGCGATTGCACACACACACACACACACACACACACACCAGGTGAAATCCGACCCACTCCAAGTGGGTTTTATTCAGGGAAATAAGTCTTGCGCGGTCATCGACGTCCTGCAAATTTTTCGGATTTGTATAAATGGATTCTCCACAGTCGCTAGTCTAGATCAAGGGAGTCTCCATCAACAGCTTATCAAGAGAAGAAGCCAAAGAGATAGCCTTGGGCGGCTGTTCTGCCTCGGGTTACTGTTCTGCCTCGGGTGACCGTTCTGCCTTGGGCAACTGTTCTCTTTGGGAGACTGTTCAGCTTTGGGCGACTGTTCTGTCTTGGGCGGTGGCGATTGTCGCGTCGCAGTCGATGTTGATCGGCTTTCAGCTGGTGATGTCCGAGCTGCGCGACGGGTTCAGAGACCAGCTAGAGTTGGTGGTAGAGTTGCAGGCCTTGGAAGGAGAGGTGCTCTTATAAAATGCTGTGCTCTCCAGAATAATGTTCATGTGCGCAGCCAGTGTATGCTGGCAACAAAGGCTTCCTTTATGTATAAGTGTACGCTCGTACTATTCGAGATGCTTTACTGTTTTTCATGGCATCCAGATCTGCAGTTTCCTTTTGCTTTGTCCAATTTAAGGGAGGAGAGAGATACAATCTTGTTGTGTGGTAGCGCGATTTGGATGGGAGAAGGCATGGACAGGACGACCCCTTACCTCCAGTTTGTGTTTGAAAAACTTGATGTCCAGGGCGAACAGCTTTACCAGAACCTGATGACAAAATGCAAGCACACACACAAACACACGGAAAACAACCAATGCGCGTACCATGAGTTTTAATAATGTGGCATAGGATTTTCTGGATATGAAGCTTGAAGGGTTCATACCATATCACCTCCGTTCTACACTATTCCATTCGTGTTCATTTGTCACATGTGATAGTTTGTTGAGTGCACACACATTGCGCCAGTATCTTCCACAAAAACAGTGCCGTTTATTTCAACTTCAAGTTCAACCCATTTCATTCAATATCGGCCTCTCCTCTGATGAGTTCCCGTCATCGTAATGGAACGAAACAAGACTTGTCAGGAGCAACTTCTAGCTGTTGTGGAGTGTGACTGGATGAAATGTTCATGCTAGTGACTGCCGTCTGATCTCGTCTGGTCACAAGAAATATCTACCACTAATATCAATTGACAGACCTAATGAAGATGGCATCAACAAATTACGAAGTTTGAAGTCACCTCATCATGCACTGACCATTCATGCGGATTTATCCGTACTATATGCGTTAAAGTGCACTCGCACATGCATGGCTCATGTGGGGATGCATCATCAGTTACACACACACTTTCAATATGCACATTCCCTGGCACACATACACACGCACATATACATGCACACACACACAAACATGCACACACACACAAACATGCACACACATACACGTGCACACACACACACATGCACATACAGATGTACACATCTCTACAGGCTTACTTCCAGATTGAAGTAGGATAAGATAGCGATACCAAGGTAGTGAAACACCTCTGCTGGGTCGATGTCATGGTGTGTTTCCTCTACAATAATTATAATGTCATGTACACAAACACACGCACGCACGCACACACACGCGCACGCACACACACACACACAGACACGCACACGTGCACACACACACACACAAATGTGCGTGTGAAGCACAAACAAAATGTACACTCAAATTCTCTGGTGTAAACACTCTGTCATGAAGACTAGACAAGGCACACATACAGCGCAGCGTGGCTAGATTTCTAGCCAGCCGATCGTCCAACAAGTACGCAATGCTGCATTCTAGTGACCTGGGCAGAGTCTTAATTCGCTGAGCCCAAAGCACGAGTTGACTTGTGTTCAAAAACGATCGAAAATCCGAACCACGAGTTAACTCGTATTTTTTATTTTGGATAATAGTACGTTGTTTTCGTATACCGCAAGTCGCTCAAACGTTGCTCAGACTGATGCTATTGCAGTACAGCCATGGTAAATCCCCTGGCACGATACGGCATGGCATGGCTCGTGATCCGCGGCAGCCGTAGTCATGTAGGAAGTATGCAGGCCGCGTGCCGGGCCGATGATTTTTTCTCAAAATTCCACTATTTCCAAATGTTGCAATGTCAGGACGGCGATCAACGCTGTCACTGTCTGAAGCCCATGACGCTTTGTTCCTGAACAGCGACAGCGAAGACGAGCCCTATGTGCCCTATGGAGATTCTGACGGCGAGATATCAGGCAACGACGCCGAGTTCCAGGGAGACAATTGAAGACGAAATTTGAGAATGCTGAGAACACAATTATCGATGACGATACTGACGAACTGGAGCACCCTGGCGGAGCAGTGCCTGCTGTTGACGACGCTGAGCCTCCTGCTGCGCAGCGTGGTGGCGAAATGCTGGTGGGGATATTGTAACTCACAAGTGCATGCATGGAATTGACAAATCGTTACTGGATGACAATTTGTGGACAACAAGAAATGATGCCAACCCACCCCCAGCGTTTAGCAGTGACACTGGCCTTGTCGATGCACTACCAGCTGACTCTGGGATTGAGTACTACGTCGATATGTACCTCACTGATGAGATTTTCGATCTGCTACTAACTCAGACAAATTTATTTGCGCAGCAGTACATTGCGGGAAAAGAACTTCCGCCGCAGTCTCCGATCCATAAGTGGAAAGACGTCACGCGTGCAGAAATGAAGAAGTTCTTAGCTCTGTATATTTTCTCTGGTCTGGTCGAGAAGTCTCGGTGGAGAGATTACTGGAGCACAGACTTCCTTGTCTTTACACCAGCATTCCCTGCCATCATGGGCCGAGACGGCTTCTTGCTCATTCTGCAATTTCTGCACTTCACTGACAACGCTACAGCTGACAAGGAAGACAAACTCTACAAGGCGCGGCCTCTTATAGACTTACTGCTAGCACGGTTTCAGTCCGTGTATCGTCCATCCAAATACATCAACGTTGACGAGGAGCTAGTAAAATTCAAAGGACGTGTCCGGTTCAGACAGTTCATCCCCAGCAAACGTGCCCGCTTCGGTGTAAAGATCTATGCTCTATGCGACACGGACGGATACTTCTGGAACTCACTTGTATACATCGGGAAAACAGCAGCCTTCCCGCTGGCACTGGTGGTTTTTGTGGCACTCTTCGCGCAAACCACATCGGCATTCCAGAAGCTCTCACAAACGCTTAAGGTACCGAAAGGTCAGTTTGCTTTTCGGCACAAGGGCAAGCTGGAGATCGTGAAACTTCACGACCGCAAAGTGATTTACCTACTGTCCACAATGCACAACGTACGATCGGATTGCATTGAGCAGCACTGCACATGACGTGCTTTTCGCCGACATTAAACCGCATGGTACAGACTGCTTTTATCGTAACTGCTTACAGTTCTTGACCAGGGAGTTGTACGACTCCTTGTTCTTGACCTGCCCGGTACATGAACCCATCCAATTTTTTTTTTTTTACAGTGGTGACATCTTATTATTTTCCAAACTGTTCATACTAATCGGTTTGAGGGAAAGATGCAAACGGGAAAAGTCTACGTGGTCATATTTATTTTTTCATCATGATCCACAGCAAGAAGGCAGCACCTATCAGGCCCGTCGCACTGACTTTGGAGGTGGGTCCGGGGGTCCTCCCCCGGGAAAAAATGTCAAAAATTGAAGCCAATTGGAAGCATTTCCAGGCATTTGGTGCCATTTCAGTGTGACTGCAATGAAAGACTGTTTTGTTTCTGCAAAAAACCGCGATCGGGGACAAGGATTTGCCACGTTTGCGCTGAGCTGCGATCATCGACCTTTGTTGCAGTGTGCTCCAAAAAAACAAAAAAAAAGCCGAAAAAGTGGGGCGGCCACAGCTGCCCCACCCGCCTGTGACGGCCTTGCCTATGGTGACCTAAAATAATATTACATAACATTATCCTGTATGAGATTGAGGTATCGACATCGGCGATGATTTTATAGGAAAGGTGCTTGCTCCCAACACCGGGGAGCAGTCGTGAGCCATCCAAGTGTCAAGTGAACGCAGCGGGAACGCGCGAGCTCCCATGTGGGGAGCAAACACCATTCCTATTACACGCACCCCTTTTAATCCAGCACCCTCTATAAACCAGCACCCTCTATAATCCAGCACCCTCTATAAACCAGCACCCTCTATAATCCAGCACTTTATAAACCAGCACCCTATAATCCAGCACTTTATAAACCAGCACCCTCTATAAACCAGCACCCTATAATCCAGCACTTTATAAACCAGCACCCTATAATCCAGCACTTTATCAACCAGCACCCTCTATAAAGCAGCATAATTTTCGGCAACCAAAAAGTCCTTTTCACGCACATTGCAGCAGTAAATCAGATTTTCTAATCCGGCACCCTCCCTAATCCAGCAGAATTTCACTAGCACAAAATGTAATGATGCCGCATTATAATGAAGACCACTGTATCACATACGGCGACCGAAACAAGCAGCAGTAGCAGCACTGACCTAGCTGGCAGCTGTGTTTCCCGTGGATGTAGATGCAGTGGCTGAAGTTGGTGTCGTAACTGCACGACTGAATGGACGACGTGTCACTCAGGTTGCTGCGTCTGGTTATGGGACAGTCACTGTCCTTGCGGCACTCGTTATCCCCTGTACACATGCAAGCACACCAGTAGTAGCAGTACAGTGTGTGAAAAGAAAACAAGGAATACATGTACTGAAGTCTATTCCTATCAATCTTGTGCAGGGTGCGTCAAAAAACACTTTCCATTTCTGTGGTTCACAAACATGTCACACAAAAACTTTTCACTGGTTTGAGGGAAAGACACAAAACACACACACACACACATACACACACACGCGCGCGCGCACCCCCCCCCCCCCCCCCCCCCCACACACACACACTGTACTTACTGATAAGTTCAAGATCCAAGATCAGCTCCACAAGGACCACCATAACATCCAGCGCTACCATGACGATGACAAAAATATGAAAGTAATGGTTCAGAGTGAGGAAGTTTGCCAGGTGTTTTCGCGATCGCCATCTGGATATCAACACACACACACACACACACACACACACACACACACACACACACACACACACACACACACACACACACACACACACATACGCACACACACGCACACACACACACACACACACACACACACACACACACACACACACACATATACAGACATACACACAAACACACACGCATAGACAGTACATAAACAACAGCACATTGCCCACCGGTGAAGGCGTATGTGGGCAATGCAATGAATAGATTATTCGCATTCAGTCAGCCGCTGCGGCGCTGCATTCTGCGCTCACAATTGCAACAGCACAATGCGGATGAAGCCCCCCCCCCCCCCCCCCCACACACACACATACTCGTCAATAAGCCCATTGCGCAATGACGAGATTTGTACCATCAACACCCCACACAGTACAGGCACCTGGGCATGATCGTCTGGAGTGTTGAACAGTGCGTCATTGACGGTGACCCCATCGTACTCACATGAATTACTCATGCAATCCATATTTGGCAATGCGCAATGGGCTCATGCAATCCATATTCGGCAATGCGCAATGGGCTCATGCAATCCATATTTGGCAATGCGCAATGGGCTTATACTACGCACAACACCCAGCGAGTGCGTTCGATTATGCGCGCGAATCGATTCACGAATCGATTTGCGCTATTCACATCACCCCATGTGAATAGGGTGAATGGATTCAGAACGATTCCAGGGCTCACGACATGAAAATCGAACGACTTGAATGCATGCGAATGGATTCATGAATTGATTCAAGTGCATAATCGAACGCAGCCACCACACTACAGTGACACATACAAGTACACTGGACGAACACAGACGGAGAAGTGAAGATCACTCGGAACAGAGTACAGCACTGTCGGGCACCGAAGAACGGAGCGCCAAAGAACGGAGCACCGAAGAACGGAGCGCCGAAGAACGGAGCGCCGAAGAATGGAGCGCCGAAGAACGGCCTGGCTAGAATTTCACCAATGGCATAGCATACCAGTGTATAGGCGGTGACTAAACTGTGCATAGACTGTCCTACATGAAAATAAGAACGGTCTAGGCCAGGAGGCTGATCCCCTAGTTCTTCCGAGACCGACAGTGCTGTAGGCATGTCTGCGGGCACAGTAGTGATAAGTGATAACAGTCAACGCAGGCGCATACGGGGCGCATGTGCGTATGGCAATAAAATTGAACAAATACAAGACACCAAAGTCTAATCCAAAAGAATAAAACAAAAAAACTCACGCATCCTTCAGCTGCACCACGGTTTCGTCATCGTAGACGTGCTGCAGCTCGTCAAAGTTCTCGTCGTCGATGTCCGGTAGTTCCTCCGGCGGTACGATCTCCACGCTGGCCACCCGCTTGATGTCGGCAGAGTTTGGCGGTACCAATGCTGAGCCAGGGTTGGAGTCACTGTGATGCACATCGGCATTTTCCTCGATGGATGGCGGTCGCTCTGTATAGTGCACACAACAGGAACATAGAGGGTATTCGACAGTCAACAGTCATGTGACATTGTAGTACACTTCCATCATAATAACTATGCTTATAGAAGACAAGCTAGCCTCATCATCTATATTTGGCAAGATTTCCTGGTGGCAAAGTCGGGGCTCTGCAAAGCCCGATTTTGCCAGTGAAGCTGCGATATCTTGAGGCAAAATGTTTACTGGCTCATCGTTGATATTTTGCTTTCATTTCGCCAGGCCACTCGATATTTTGCTCCCTTTTTGCCCAAACACGAGGCCAAATTTGTGTCACGTGCGGGAAAACTGACCGAAAGTGGGTCACGTGTTGGCAGAAATGTGCGAAAATGATTCACGACTTCACGTGCACCGTATAAGTGTCAAATCTCCCAATTTCCAGCGAGTATGCCGATATTTTGCTCCGTTTTGCCAGCAAATTTTCTTGTCAAAATTCTTCGATATTTTGCTAGCAAAATTGCAAACAAAAATACCATATTTTCTGGAGTTTGAGCCGCACTGGACGATTGGCCTCGCCCAGATTTTTTGTCATGAAATCATTTACCCTGTTTATCATTGTTAATTTGACTATCGTATAGGGGTGAAACAATTATACCGAGTACTCGAGTACTCGCTCGGTTTTTTTCAAAAGTAATCGTACTCGGAATACATCAGAGTACTCGTGCATACATGGTACATGCATTTATCACAGAAATCTGCAGTTTCAGAGCAGCAGTCGGCAGATATTGAGGTGCAGACTGTGTGGTGAACATTTGTTCACGAGTAGAGAGAGCCCAAATGACCCACGGACCGATATACCCGAGAAACATGACTGCTACTCGGTTCAATCAGGGTTGTAACATGTGATTTTAAGGCCCTTGGTGTGCAATTTTTAGGAGATGAAGAATACTCGAATACTCGAACATTCGATTGGAGAAAATCAGAGTACTCGAACTCGGGATCTCAGTGCCAACTTTCACCCCTACTATCGTAGTATTAGCCGCGTCGGCTTTTTTTGGGTGGATTACTGGTGTTAAAAGTGCGGTTTTACTCCGGAATATACGGTACTTCTCAACAAACTCAATCTGCGGACAGAATTGTTTCGTCCTTTGTGGGCTCATCAGCGCAGCACAGAGAAAATGAAGCCGAACTGACCATTTTAGCAAAGAACAAAAAAATTCCAAAGCCAGGTTTAAACCAGGCCCGAACGTACCTCGCCAGAGAGCTCAAACTGACAAGTCAGTGAGCTCTGCATAACGCAAACAGCAAAGGCACTACCCCACTTCTCAACAAGCATAGCTGTCTGGTCAGGTTCTTCACTCTGGAAAGGTGCATGTCGGGGAATGAATTAAATTCCGGCTCTGGATCTCTTCTGGAGCTGCATCTGTGCCTTGATCCATAGAGGGTGGGGGCGTTCCTACGGATGCGGAAAAGCCGAGTGTTCCACGAACCGTGAATATATTTTCAATCTCTTCAACATCCCAACAGTACAACATACCGTTTTCCCGCGGGCCATCAATATCATCCACGGAAATCTTGATGTCAACGCTGTGTATGCACGTAAACACACGTAGAGACATACCGAAGTACACGCATACAGACCGACAGACAAGAGACAGACGAATATACATGCAGGCACACAGACATATACGCATCCAGGTGGACACACACGTACACATATAGGTGGACACACACGTACACATATAGATGGACACACACGTACACATATAGATGGACACAGATACACGCACACACGCACACACGCACACACATACACACATACATACACACACATACACACACATACACACACATACACACACATACACACACACACACACACACACACACACACACACACACAGATGATACAGAAACATTAGAAGGAGCTATGAAAGAGAACCACATGTTCGGGAATATCGCAAAAGAAGAATGGGCAGCACTGGTACATTCCATTTTTCTTTGGTTCTAAACATGCAAAGCCCTTAGCATTGGGATTCGATCTTCTTGCAGGAGACGCACCCCTAATCACATTAGCAACATAAGGCAAGACAAAGTTTCTCCTAGTCACCAAGCTGCCTGTTCGGCTCAACAGGCACGACAGCTGCACACATGCTGTTTGGACGGCGATGACACTCAGGCATGATACATGAGGATTCACAGTCAACTTGCGAACAGTCACGCACTTCTAAGTCACACACATCTTCTTGTCAGGCAGACACACGTGCATACACATGCACATGCATGCACACACAAAAACACACACACACACACACACACACACACACACACTCATACACACGCGCGCGCACAAACAAACACACACGCACACACACCACCACCACACCACGCCACACTGGCAGACTTCTGACAAGCCATGCGCACTTGCAACCTGGACTGGACAAGCAATTACAATTCCCTGCCCCCCCCCCCCCCCCACTTCAAGCAATTTTGCCCCGCCCTGGGTTGGGAGGGGGGGGGGGGACTTAATCATTCCACTGATGAGTATGCTATGATTGATTAGATTATAGAGTATAATGTACAGACTCCCCCCCCCCCAGTCAGCAGGACCAGTGCACTTCAAGGGCTAGTGGCGTGGTCAATGCAGAGAACACAGAGCACAATCCCCCAGTCAGCAGGACCAGTGCACTTCAAGGGCTAGTGGCATGGTCAATGCAGAGAACACAGAGCACAACCCTCCAGTCAGCAGGACCAGTGCACTACAAGGGCTAGTGGCGTGGTCAATGCAGAGAACACAGAGCACAACCCCCCAGTCAGCAGGACCAGTGCACTTCAAGGGCTAGTGGCGTGGTCAATGCAGAGAACACAGACCCCAACCCTCCAGTCAGTCAGGACCAGTGCAATTCCAGTGCTAGTGGCTTGGTCAATGCAGAGAACACAGACCCCAACCCTCCAGTCAGCAGAGCCAGTGCTATTCCAGTGCTCTTGGCTTGGTCAATGCGGATAGCACAGAGCATAGGACAGACAGGAAGTGCGTCAATCACCCTGTTCTGCCAAGAGGGCACTTGTGCCGTCAAGCAGGTCAAAGCAGCTAGGGGACAGTGGAAAGAAATGCTTTTCCCCACAGTACAGTAGGATACCAGTACACATGTCCAGTACTCCACTACCAAGCCATGACATGGCATGAAGTGGTGATGGTGATTACAATAATAATATTACTAGGTACTGCAGTAGTGGTGACATATTGGTTTTAGCACTAAACTAAGTGCAGTATGATATCTGGGCCGAGGGCGTAGCTCGTACATCTGTGGTGTGGTGACCACGCACTGCACACACGCACCGGACACACATGCACCGGACACACATGCACTGGAGCCGGAGCACATCTGCGCACCGTGGTGACCATGCATTGCACACATACACGCACTGGAGCAGGTCTAAGGTTTGGTGACCGCGCACTGCACGCACCTCAGACCTCAGACATGCCCATCGCGGGACATAGCAACTTACTTGTGCTGGGATTACACCATTCAACAGCTTGCAAGGCTGATGAATTGACCGCCACACACACACACACACGCACACACACACACACACACACACACACACACACACACACACACACACACACACACACACACACACACACACACACAGGCTCTGGAGCAGATCTGCGGTATGGTGACCAAGTGCCAAGGACAATCCCATAGCTAGCCGCCGCCATTTCCCCCAAGTTGACTAAGTTATGCAGTACAGTTTCTGCAGTGGTAACCAGACTACTCCGACTACCATACATGGGCGATGTGGCTGGATATTGTCTACTTCGAAGTAGAAGTCTAAAGAAAATGTTGAACGGTCTCTGCTGGGACGACGGCTACACCATAGCTCAGTGGTTAGAGCATCGTTGGCTACGCTACAAGCGAGGGTCCCTGGTTCGAGTTCTGGTGGTGAAAGTCAATTTTTTTCAGACTTTCGGGTTTGCGTCTTTCTCTCAAACCAGTGGATATACTGCCTAGAGTACGCATAGAACAGCCCATTGGGCGCTTGCATGTGCGCTCATCAAACTGCAGTTCTGCTCAATGAAATCCAGGCCCTGCAAACAACACCTATAGAATACTCGCAATGATTTAGAGTGCTGTGTGCGGAATGACAGGAGGAAGGAACCACGACTCCTTATGAACGATCTCTGGAGTTGAATTGCATCAATGCAAGGTGCAAGCGCCACATCTTAACTACAAAAGGAAGTTAGCTTCCTACAGATTCCATGAGCCATGACACATTGACTGTTCAAGAATTCAGTGCCAGCATGCTGGACGGCAATGAAATGACTAGTGTGTCAAGGCCTCACAGTGCTACTCATCCAAGTATTCATTAAACTACTCATTCAACTGCGATCAAGAGGTTTTACTTGTGCGTGTGTGTGTGTTTGTGCATGTGTGTGTGTGTGTGTGCATGTGCATGTGCGTGAATGTGTGTGTATCACAGTATGTGTGTGTGTGCGCATGCCACGGTGCACACACCACACGTGTGGACGGTCGTGTAGCCCAACAGCAGCCCATGTCTCCGTCCGTGTGTTACCTCCATCAACACACACACTAGAAACAACACACTCTACACACACACACACACACACACACACACACACACACACACACACACACACGGGTAAGGAGTGATTCCCATCTGCGGCACACGGCATCCCACCACGCACAATACACACAGCCCATATTCGATTCGACAGAGGCCTCAGACGTTCTAGTGAACGCACGCACCAGCCTGCATAGTTCACATTTAAATATCCGTGCTCGTGACCAGCGACGTGTGTATGTGTGCAGACGCGTGTGCGCGCGCGTGTGTGTGTGTGTAGGGGGGGGGGGGGGGGGGGGGGGAGAGAGAGATTATTGATAAGATTAGAAAGACAACCCATACTCCAGGATGATTACCCAAAGGTTAACGCCTATCGCGGGGACTGAGTGGGGGCGGTGCGTTGCGTTTAGCTCTCACGACTGCGGCAGTTCCGCATACAATCACAGCACTCACTGCTGCTCGGCAATACACAAATTTACAGAAATTACACACAGACTCACACACACACACACACACATACACACACACACACAAACACACATACACACACACACACACACACACACACACATACACACTAGGTTCACACCGAAGACAAACAACGTAAACCACCATGACTGTTTGCGCATCTGCTTTCCAGGCTTACTAGCTCCTCTTCCGTTTTGACTCCCAATTTATAAAATTTCTAATATTTCCGATGAACTTCTGCAGGAGTCATCTGACAGACGTTGTACATTTTTCTGTACTGCAAATGCTCACAGCAGCCGGAAGCCCAGAGGCGCTGGGAGACGCGTACAGATGTGCAGCCAGTGGTTCAGTGACACGGCGTACGCCCGCATGCTCAGGCGCAAGAAACAAGCTACCGTAGCTGGTTCGTTTTGCTTGCCAATTATTATCGTTTTTATAGCAATTTTTGCCTGCCAGGTACGTTCTCGGCGCTGCAACAAATCATTCGATACATGATTCCCAGAAGCTGATGACATGATGGCGTGAGCTAAGAAAACTAACTTGGCTGGATTCCAGGAGGCCCAGTAATGCCAAAACACACGTGTTATCACAAGACACAACATCACCCGTGTTGTAACAAAATAACCTAAATTTTTGTCAGTTCTACTAATCGTTTTTAGCTGCTAGTTATGCGACGCGCACACACACACACACACACACACACACACACACACACACACACACACACACACACACAAACACACAACATGAAGTTCGTTCACTTTCTAAGTTTTTATTCCTTACCCTCGTCCATGACTGCTGGCGCTGCTGGCTGCGGTGGTCGTGTCTGATGGAGGCGACCCGACGCTGTCCTGCTGATGCAGCGTCTCGAGCGTGATAGACGAATCGTTGGCAGCCGCACCGCCGCCTTCTTTGTCCGAATCCGCATAATTATTTGGTGTGAGCAAATAGTGGACCGGCAGTGGCAATTTCCTGCTCTGCACTCGGAAAGCAAGCTAGTTTACTGGCACGATCGTAGAAGAAGCCTCCCGCAAACACACTCTCTCGGAAACGGCAGCAAACTGCAAACAACAAGCAGAATCAATGAAAGCGCTGTACGCCCTGCCAATGACGGGACACAGAATCTAGAATCACAGTCATACAGCGCTGTCAGAACAGACAGGTCGACATGGTCGCGCGTGCACGTCTGGCCGGCCTGGATGTCAATTTTGTACGAAAAATTTCTGCAAAGGTCGAGCTAGCTAGCTAGCTGTACATCATGGACCTGGTAGACAGTCTACATCATGTATGGCCTGGTAGATACTACACCCTTTTCGGCTTTGGAGACCTTCCGTGATCAGCGTGTCCGATCCGACAAAAAAAAACTATTGACATGTCGACATGCTACGGCCGTACCGTGCGCGTGCGGCGCTCGGATCTTGATTCACTAGCACTCTTCAGCAGCTACAGTACCAGAGTACAGTAGGATCGGGCAGTGAATCAGTGACTGACTGCACTACTGGTCCTTTCCATGTTATGTATTGTTGTCGGCGCTGTGCGGTGTATGTGTGCATGCAGCAAATCGTATCATCGATCAGAAAAGAAAGACGGTCGCCGAAAGTGTCACTCCGACTCACACGCACTGTGACTCAGTCACAGTTGGATTGCCATGCAGGCACAGACTCTTCCTGTGAAAAATTAGTACGTAGACTGCGGTAGTCAGTGCTGCAGTGACAGATCAATGCAGAAGTGCAGATACTGAGTCACTGTCGCTGCGGAGAGACTTGAGACAAAAGTGAAAACTACATTTTTGTAGGAAGAAGTGTGCTCCGTCACATTGCCAACCCCCGGGATTACAGGAGAAGTCGGCGTAGTACTCACTTGACTCTTCACTCTTTTAATTTTCTCTTTTTCTAGTCAGTGCCAGGTGGGTGCCAGATCCGAGCCAAGGTCAGTGCCAGATCAGTGTGCGGCCATACGTCACTGTGGAGAACTAGAAAGAAGTGTGACGGAGTATGCAGGAGAAGTTAGTTGGCGAAGTACATGACATTCACGGTATTCACTTGACTTTTACTCTCCTTCAATCATTCTCTACTCTCCTCTAGCTAGCTCTCTATGTAGCTAGCCTACATTTTTGCACCAGGGTCAGGCGGCACTGACAAGTCAGTGACACACTGACAGACCTCTGAGTACGAGTTCGAGTGCAGACTGCAGAGAAAGCAGTGCATGCACCGACTGTCTTTTTAGTTTTTACAACTGCCAGTACTGCAGTAGATCTACTGGCGCGCGTGGCGATGCGCACATCATGACCATGATGACAGCGTTCACGGACAAAGCGTGACACAGCAAAATCGTCCCTCAAACTCAAAGTAAGTTAGTTAGTTGCTCAAACCCGTGTACATGGTGTACATCACTCATCAGTCACTCATACTGTCATAGCATTACTTCAGCCAGTTCAGGGCACCCATGCCATGGCATGGGGCATGCATGGCCCATACCAGCGGCTCCAAAGCGTGGCGCTGCGCCCTCGAGTCGAGGGCCTCCAAGCCAAAGGCTCCATCTTTCGGCCACCCCCTTCAAAATCGAAAACGCGGTTGTCATGTACAAGTCATGTAGACCTCTACCATTATTAGTGTAGATACAGTTTCTCAACGCTATAGCTGGTGGTAACGCGGACGTGCAAACTTTACTTTACTTTTTACAATGACTATGTCCATTGTCATGACTCATGTACTATACAAACTACATAGAGGTACGCACAGTAAAACCTGTGACTGACGACAATGCCTTGGCTTGGGGCCAGAGAAAGCGGTCTTTAGTGGCAGGTGGTCCTTAGTTAGAGGTGCCCACAGCCCCTCTTCTATCCTTGCTTGGCGTCCCCAGTCTACTGCAACTAACTGCTAAGTCAAAAGCTTCTGGTCCTAGTCCATCGGTGCCTCCACCACAAAGCTAGCCCCTCCTTCAGGAGATGTTCACACGCACCGCTCCAGTTGGAGTCCCAAGCAACATCCGGGCAACTCGAGGGCAGCAGTCCAATCTGCTACGTTTGCTTTTTCTCCGCGGTCTCTTTCGGCAGACGGTCCATAAGGTTCGCGGATGGAATGTTCTTCCCGTCAGCGTCACAACTGAGGATGAAAAGCGGACTTTCCAGGCTCTGACACGTGCACTAGATCTAGAGGCGATTGCAGCGGAGCAATAACTCGATCATCTACTCTTACATACTGATCGATCTCGATCTCTCCCACTCTCTCTCTCTCTCTCTCTCTCTCTCTCTCTCTCTCTCTCTCTCTCTCTCTCTCTCTCTCTCTCTCTCTCTCTCTCTCTCTCTCTCCTCTCTCTCTCTCTCTCTCTCTCTCTCTCTCTCTCCTCTCTCTCTCTCTCTCTCTCTTCTCTCTCTCTCTCTCTCTCTCTCTCTCTCTCTCTCTCTCTCTCTCTCTCTCTCTCTCTCTCTCTCTCTCTCTCTCTCTCTCTATCTCTCTCTCTCTCTCTCTCTCTCTCTCTCTCTCTCTCTCTCTCTCTCTCTCTCTCTCTCTCTCTCTCTCTCTCTCTCTCTCTCTCTCTCTCTCTCTCTCTCTCTCTCTCTCTCTCTCTCTCTCTCTCTCTCTCTCTCTCTGTCTGTCTCAGGTAATCCCCTATAGTAGGCTATACATGTGCCCTGTAGATGCTGAAGACAAGCGAAATCTTCTGTTTTTCTGTTCTCTTTCTGTTGTACCTGATCTCCCTCTGATGTACCGCTGACTCTACGCTGAAGATCTAAGTAATTTAATTCTCATTCTCTTTATAATTTTCATATTCGCTTTCATGTTATTGGGTTCTATGCCCGTTTTAATTTGCGAATCAAAATAAATACAAACAAACATACCCTGAACCTTGCCACCAGCCGTTGGTTATTAGCTGAACGTAAACACACGGGTATCGTCATAGTTGACATGTCCAAGGCCTTTGACAGAGTTGACCATCGCCAGCTTGTTCCAATCCGCTTTGTGTTCGGGCTTGGAGGTGTTGTGCTGCAGTGGTTTTGCTCATCATACCTGTCCGAATGACAACAGTGTGTCCAAATCAAAGACCAGATTTAAGCACCAGTTTCATACTCCAGAGGTGTTCTCCAAGTATGCTTGGACTTCTGTTATTTGTGCTATACATCAGTGATATAGTGTCGGTACATCCAAGTGAAGTTTGTAATCAAGACTGAGCTTGCAGATGATGTTATCGTTATTGATCACGGTACTCCGACTGTGACCTGCCTTTGTTTGTGCTGTGATCACGACTGTAGTCGCCCATATTTCATTATGGCTTGAGGACAAAGGCTTGATGTTAGATTCAACTAAAAGTCTAAAACTCAAGTGTTCTTCATATGTCCCAGAGCTAGAGGTGAGTTTGACGCTGCTCCATCACTCGTCGCATGCAATAACAATGTTCTGCGAGTCGCACACGTGGCGAAATACCTTGGTGTACTGATTGGTGACCAGCTAACTAACTTGGGCACCTCACATCGAGTTTCTGACTAAAAAAATGGCGGTCGCCACTGGCACTGGATCACGGACAGCTTTGGAGGCATGGCCGGGACTTGTCACTGAAGGCATGGCCAGGCCTTGTCACGGAAGGCACTTCGAATGCGGAGATATGTCCATGATCCTATCTCATCTTTCTCTTCTTACCTGCTCTTTCACGTTCTCTGCTAAATAATTGTCTTCTAAAACTGCATAATTCAAGTCTGGGATTCGTGCTGTGTTTCAGGCTCCCTGCAGCACTGTAACAGCTCCCTCGCTTGCTAAGTTATCCCTAGGCCCTGCCATCACTTCACGAAGTCCTTGTAGAGAAACTACTTGTATTTGTTTCCGGTCTACTCATATGTCTATGCTCTCTTTTTCAATATAGTCTATATTAATTGCCCAGCCACAGATACCACTTGCTGATCGTATAGTCACCAGTCCCGTGGGCAGCTGCATTATATACTAGTACTTCGCATCCGGTTCCTACCCAGTTGTACTCAGGGGAGATGTTCTATCGAATTTCTGGGCAGCACAACATAGCACAACATACATGTAGAACTCTCTACCCGATGCATGCTACCCGCTCTCTAACAAACCTTGTTCATCAAAAGAATCTCTTTCAGATCGTGATCTCACTTCACTCCGTTAGCTATTGGCACACTATTACCTTCTGTGCCCCAGTACCTCATTCTCTCTCTCTCTCTCTCTCTCTCTCTCTCTCTCTCTCTCTCTCTCTCTCTCTCTCTCTCTCTCTCTCTCTCTCTCCCCACATTATGTACATTCACAACGGCGGTAAAAATACACTGGCTTATGACCATGACATAATAATATTATTATTTCCCAAACTGTTCGTACTGGATCGCAGTTAATAATTTTCCATCATTGGCCTGGGAGGAAGATCAGAGTGCACTAGCACTCTTGCTAAGAGCTGTGGCATCAATCACAATCCACAGCAAGAAGGTAGCAATGCCTGTACTGTAGGCTGTACCTAGCACCTACAGTATGCTGAAGTCAAGTACAGATAACATAACATTCTGAGGGATCCCCAAGACGCAGCTCGCCAGATCAAGGTGTCACGGTTCTCTTCACAGCACTGAGTCAGTAGAGTCGAGTCGAGAGAGCTGTAACTCCCGGTGCCGAAAGGCAGGCTCACGCCCCTACATGGCTACTCCTCCTTGTCTAACCCCCTGGCCCAAGACGAAATGATAGTAGCCGACTGGCCGAAATTAAACAAATTCTGAGGAGGTACAGGTGGCTGTGTTAAGTGTACTGCCTACTGGAATGGAGCCCAGAGCCTCCCTTGTCGCGCACCTCCAGTGGCCCAGTCTCGCCGCAGTGGCGCACTAGGAGGCATATTCAGTGCCTCCTTGACCTCCATCATCACCTGATCCGAAACCAGATGACGATCATGGAGGACCTGGCTGGGCTACCGATATCAAACAGCAACCACTTGTTGAGTACTTCAGTAGCTATGAACAAACTCGCGCTCATGTCAGACAACAAGATAATTATATTCCCAGTAAGCCATGAACGGAGACCCCCTCGACTTAGGCCTCGGCCTTTGGGGAATCCGTAAATAAATAAATAACAAACCACTATCCACGTATTCACACATGTTGAGTTAGAGCGTTTCATTCTTGCTCGTAGTGTTCGTTTGCTTGTGAGTAGACATGAGTCCAGGCGG